AGCCTACACGCATCCCCCCCTCCCCTGCCAGTAAATATTTTAGCAGATTGGCCAGCAGCCCAGCTCAGTCCTGACTTGTGCCAGGTCCGGGAGTTCAGCCCCCGCTTGCCTGGACAGGCGCTGCTGCTATCCCGTGCTGCTGCCTCTCTATCAGAAGCAGCAGCACAGGGCAACAGACAGCCAGTCCACAAGGGGAGCTGGTTTTTTAAACCGGCTCCCCTCATGGACCAGCTCCCACCTGGCACCCACACTGCTGCCTCTAATACAGAGGCAGCAGCACAGAATGGCAGGTGGCTCTTCAGGAGTGAGGCCGGAGCGCACTGGCTGCCGGCCCCACCCTTCCGGGAACTATAGAATAGTTGAGTAACCGGTAAGAATTCGTACAGTTACAGGACTATTCAATGAACCAATATTTAATATCCTTAAGTCGGACAGTTTATTTTAAGTTAAGGTCTTACCACCTGCTTTCTGGGAACACAGCAAATTATACATGGCCTAGCTCACACAACCACCAACTCAGACTTAGCACTTAGCTCAAAAGGAGCTCAGAAGCCACCGTCAGGGATTGAGAAAACACTCGTCTCGAGGCTAGTAAATCGGACGTGGGAGTCTCGCTCCAAAAATACACTCACCCCACAAGGCCACAGAAATGGTTGGCGCTCCAGCCACATCAACCCAACTTCCCTAGCAAATCAACCCTACAGCCTTCTGCAAGTGCCGCATGTCCCACCATCCAGGAAGGCTCAGACATCATCCAACCAACAGCTGCACGGACATGCACCCGGAGACAGGGAGCTGCACAGAAAGCACAGACGTGCTCAGGATCCTTGCATGCCAGGGTCCTACTCACCAAGCGTGATCAGATGCAACAGAGCAAGTTCAGCTGATCAAACCGGGATACCTGTTTGTATTAGTTATTACCCAGAATTCCTCCTGTCTGAATCACACGGGTGGCAGAGGGAAGCTAGCTCTACCGCCGGAGATCTCAGCCCTACAGGCTCCATGCGCACAAATCCCACAGACAGGAGCACAAGTTCCACAAGCAGAGGAGCTGCAGGACCAGCCCTGCTGAAAACAAGGAAGGCGGCAGCTCAGGTACCTGGTGCGCATTGGAGTGGTCATTCTGGCAGGCCAGTTCCTGCTCCACCTCGGACACCTCCAGCAGGTTCCGTTCGCCGACCAGCCGGGAGAGCTCGCCCACCACAGTCACGTGCTTCGATACGGTGCCCGACATCTTCTTGAACTGGGGGTAGTTCTCCACAAATGCCTGCAACAAGGGAGCCAAAACTCAAACTTCTAGAACATGGGGAGCTGAACACGGTATCCGGGAATTCCAGATGGTCCCTCGGAATCTGCACCTGGTTTCCAGCCATGCATTTCCACTGGCTTCAGTGGAGTTACTCCTGAGGCATGCCAGTTGAAGATCAGCTCTGCAGGGGGTACTCCCTGTCAGGCCAGGCCAGGGAACCTCTAAGCTCTACTGCTGGGAGGAATCTTTACAGGGAGCAGCTGTTCCAACCAACAGCTCCACTCGCCATGGGACAGTGGAAATCCACCCAGATGTTGCTGCTACTTCAGATCCACAACAGACTGTGGTAAGACAATAGGGTGCATGCAGGAGCACAGTACTGTAGTACAGGTTGACCCTCTCTAGTCCGGCACCCTTGGGACCTGACTGGTGCCGAACCAGAGAATGTGTCAGACTATGGAGGGTCAACATTATCTAGCAGCATTACCAACATGTCCACTGCTTGCTGGGCTCTTCGGAGACATTTTGGGGTAAATCAGAGCTAAAGAACAGCACAGAACACGGAGAGCCAGGACTGGTGGCTGTCAACAAACTGTATGGGACCATGGGAAACTTGGCCACACCTATGGTAAGTGGACATCCGGCTATCTAACACCATGCCAGCCACGGATGTTGCCGGACCAGAGAGGTTCAACGTGTAGCGGTTATTGTGGTAGCACCGGAACATGCTAGCCCTTGGCAAGGACCCCGCCATACAAGGCTGTATAAACACCTTCAAGAGCCTACTCACAGAATAGAGTGAGCCCCTGCTATCCCGGCATGAAGAAGGGACATAAGTAAACACTGACAATCTGCAGCGGATTGTTTCTAAGGGGCCTAGCCTGTCATGGACATCTTCGCTACCTTCATGTCAGCTATGGACTCCAGCTTCTGCTGCTCTTTCGGCTTCCTGCGCTGGAAATCTTCCATTAGGTTCTTGATATTGCTGCCAATCTCAGCGAAGTTCAGGTACATGTTCTGTGGACAACAAACAGACGGGGATGGGAGGGAAGGCCACTCCCAGCAGAGCTGGTCGCCGTTTGGAGATCACCACCAGGGTTCCTCATAAGCTGAGCGCTTGGGAGCTCATCCAGGAGAGGTTCAAATGCCGCCCAGTGGATTAGCAGAGCACCCACAGCTGGCAGCGTGTGTTTCTACTGGTGGAGCACATTTGCACATGACTCGCTGCACAGAAAAAAATTTATTCTGCACATAGGTGGAAATACTTAAGGAACATTGATCATCCCCCTCTGCTCCATGAGGGTCTATTGCACACTCCCACGCTGCACTTGGAGAGCAACAAGCAGCTCTGGGATACAAAATGGCTACGTTCTGGCAATAGAAATGGGAACTAAAGCCCATTTCTTGCTTATAAACATTACATTCACCTAGCATGTAGGTAAATGCCATCATCCCATTATACAAGTGGGGAAACTGAGGCATGGAGTGGGGCCAGATCCTGCCCAAGGTTACGCAGCGACTCAGTGGCAGGATCAGGAAGAGAACCCAGTCCCCAGTTTAGACCATTCAAGAGCTCTCCTTCCCCTGCACAGCATACAGCTACTCACGTTGGCATAAAACTCGTCGTTCTCAGCAGAAAGAACCACCTCCCTGAGATCCTTGCTGATGCCGGGTACTCGGGAGAGGTCGATTCGGTTGTTATTAATCCCCAGCAGCTCGTGTACCATGGCCTGGTACGTCCACTAGGTGCGGAGCGGGGGAGGAGACACAAACGTTTGACTTAAAATCACAACCAATTTAAAAAGCAAACACCAAGCTATAATGGGAATAATTCGTGCTTACAGTAAGGCCCCTTCACCCCACTCTGGCCACATATAAGGGCACCCCCACATTGCAGCTGGGAGCATGACTATTAGCTCACACAGATGTGCCAATGCTAGCTGTGCTCTAGTCGGCTTGCTAAAAATAGCGGGGAGGATGCTGTGGTGCAGGTGTCTGCTGCCCATGCTGAGATCTGTCCCACAGCATTCGCGCCACTATTTTTAGCAGACCTAGCACAAACAAGCTACGTGAGGGGCCACGCATACCCCCACGTGTAAAATAGTTGGACCCACAGGGGGCCCTTAGAGTGAATGATGGTTGCACCAACTTTAAAACAACTTTCCCAGCGAGAGATCTTAGTGTAAATGAGAATCAAGAACAATTTTTAAAAAAACACAACAATGTTCAGGATTCCTAGAACCCTAGACTGGAAGGGACCTCAGGAGATTATCAAGTCCAGATCCCTGCCCAAAGCAGGAACAACCCCAACTCAATCATCCCAGCCAGGGCTTTGTCAACCTAGGACTTAAAAACCTCTAGGGATGGAGATTCCACTCCCTCCCTGGGGAACCCATCCCAGCGCTTCCCTGCCCCCCTAGTGAAAAAGTTTGTCCTAACTTCCAGCCTAGACCTCCCCCACACCTCACACCTTGTAAAATGGAAACTGTCCAGGGCGACTGCCAGCATCTTGTAACTAGGGATGTTAAATACTGGTTAATTGAAAAGTTGATTAACTTCATTAATTCCTATCAGCTACTCGATGATTCTATAGTCCCCGGGGATGGGACCAGCAGCCATTGCGCTCTGGCCCTGCTCCCGAGGAGCCCTCTGTCACTCCACGCTGCTGCCTCTGTATCAGAGGCAGTAGCACGGGATGCCACGGAGGGAACTGGACGGAAGGGGATCCAATTTAAAAACCAGCTGCCCTCACAGACCAGCTGCCCGTCACCCTGCACTGCTGCCTCTGATACAGAGGCAGCATCACAGGGTGGCAGAAGCCCCTGTCCAGTGGGATGAGGGGGGCTGATCTCCCGGACCCAGCAAGAGCCAGAACTGAGCTAAGCTGCCTGCCTGGCTCCTAATACAGTTTAAATGAGGAGCCGCAGTGGGGGTAGGTCCTGGACCCAGCAGGAGCCAGGCTGCTGGCTAGCCTGTTAAAAAAAAAAAAAAATGTATATTGGTGGCAGAGAGGGGGAGGGATTGCAAGTAGCCTATAGCATTAACCTACACGCTTTTGCTTATTGGTTAGTCGACTACACTATTACATCCCGACTTGTAACAGATATTTCTAGGAAGTGAGCACCTTGGAATCCTAAACCAGGATCAGCGCCCCCTTCTACAGACAGAAAGGAACATAGTCCCGGCTCCAAACAGCTGATTGTATTCAAAAGCGACCAAACGTACTGCAAAGTAAAAACACCCAGACATGATGCTTAGGCAACGGAGATTCATATTTCTGCTAGAACCCATTGGCTTGCCAGCGTCAGCGCCCCAGCGCCTCTGCCCGTGAACAGGAGGGTATTTTTGGCTGCAGCTTTGGCTGTTACAAGCTGTCCTGTTTCCCGCTGGCTCGTCTGCTCCTTATGCAGCAGGAGGCACGTGTGGTTTCAGAGATCAGCACGTTCCTATATTTAGCCAGATAAGCCTAATGTCATCGGAAGGGAAGTTTGCGAGCTGATCAAAGCGCTGACATGTTGGCCAACCCGGTGACGTTCCTCCGAACCGCGGCAAGCACTCTCTGTACCGCAGAGACCGCTCTCCTGGGACCTACCCCGCCTGCAGTCTGTAGCCCGACCAGCCATGACTCCACTAGGGTTCTGGCACGGCCAGCTCACTCTGCCCAATGAGCCAGAAGCGCCCAGGGCAGCTGAGATACTCCTTCCCTACCCGTTTCTCCGAGGAGCAGACCAAGTTACCCCAGAGCTGCGGGGGGCAAGCTGTGGCCCATTGGGGTCCTGCGTGTAGCTCACGAGACATTTTCTTTACACAGTTGCCAGCTTCTGCTGGTTTTCTCCCCCTTCCCCGTCATTATTACTAAAGTGACGTGCATGTGAAGCAAGGGCACACGCGGCGTGGGCTGACTGCACACGGCATCGAGCGAGAGATCCGTGTGCTCCTGCTGCAGCCAGTCACAGCACTGCTACGGTTCCGTCAGCGCCTCCCGCACATTCTAGGCACGCAAGCACCGTGAGCAAAACGACCCTCTCCCAGGAGATGGTCCTGGTTACAGCAATCTGGTGGCTCAATGAGACGAAGGAGGGCCACCCCTGCGGCCCACTCGCTAGCCTAGCAATGCCCAGAAGCACACTGAGCGTCTAGCAGGGGGTGTCTGCGTGCTCGCTGAGGACAGGAACGCGTCTGGAGAGCCCTTCTTTAGAACCCAGCTATGCCAAACCCAACTGCCTCCAGGGCGAGGCTACTCCCACGATCCACAACCAGTGCACGTCCCGGGCTTTTGGGGACAGAGCCCCATCTACGCTACGAACAGGCGTAGCGTAAGTGGGCCAAAGCAGCCGGGCCATAACCAGGCCTCCCGGCACAGCTGTACTTGCAGCACACAGGGGGCCTTGCCGGTCAAAGGGCAGATCAGTTTCCATGCCCCGCTCAATCCTCAGCCCCTTTACTCAAGATAAGTGCCAGGTGTATTGTCCTGGCTGGGGCACTGGCTCGCTGACCTGGGCAGAGACTCACTAAACTCAATTCACACAGGCTGACAAGGCTAAATGTTTATTGCCCTGAGCAGGATTTAAATCAGTGCCCAGGCAGGGCACAGAGGTGCCTTTCCCAATGCACCGAGAATCTCTCCCAGCCAGAAGGCGAAAGAGCCCTGGATGAAAATGAAGAGGGGTTTTCACTCCCAGCGGCGTGTCCCACCATCAATACCACCCCCTGCCCCACACTGTCCTGGGAGGAAGCACTGCTGCCGCCATTACCGACTGGCGCCCGAACAAATCAAAGGGGACAAAGCGTGGACTGTTCAATGCCTAAGACTGCAGCACAGCCCCGGAGCCGCGTGAAAACCCACAACCAGCCACGTCAGTGCGCTCCTCTATAGCTCAGCACAAAGAACCCGCTGAGGCACGGTCATTTGATGGATGTGCTGCCGAGAATGCGCTGCAAATAAGCCGTTAAAAGGGACCCTGCTAAGGGGCTTGGGCCCTACATTTAAAACAAGAATTACAAATATACAAATGGCTGGAGTTTCAAGAGGCCAAATGGAGTAGAGATTAAAATCAGCAGTGCGCTCCTCTATAGCTCAGCACAAAGAACCCGCTGAGGCACGGTCATTTGATGGATGTGCTGCCGAGAATGCGCTGCAAATAAGCCGTTAAAAGGGACCCTGCTAAGGGGCTTGGGCCCTACATTTAAAACAAGAATTACAAATATACAAATGGCTGGAGTTTCAAGAGGCCAAATGGAGTAGAGATTAAAATCAGTAAGAGAGCAGAAGGAAACCAGTCTTTAGTCTGTAACGTAGTCCTTTTCCTGGAGGACTGTGAATATGGGTGGTCGGTGAAGGTACAGCTGGGGGAGGCAAGCTCCCAGCCTCACCTTCAGCCCCGCCCCTTCAGCTAGGTCCTGCCCCTTCCCTGCCCCCGGCAGGTGAAGCAGCGCGCCATGTGCATGCTCCCCCTTCCAACCGAGGGGAGGGGAGTGGGCTCACGCTCGCCGCAGCCTCCCCAGCAGAAGGCGCACAGTGTAGTGTGGCCCGGCCAAGCCCAGCCCACCCTCTCAAGCATGTATTGCGCAGCATGCCCCGCCTCCTCCCTGCCCCGTGCTGGAGAGGTTGGGCTGAGCTGGGCCGAGCACACGGAGCATCAGGGAGGGAGGAAGGAGGCAGGGCATGCTGTGCCACCCGGCCTGGCCTCTCCAACCCAAGAGCATTGTGGGAGGGAAGATGGCACATCACACGGCCAGGCCTGACCTCTCCAGTTCTGGATACCAGGAGGGTGGGCGCCGGGGATAGCAACACTCCAACTCCAGAATGCCTACAGTAGGCGCTCTGGGGACGGAGCATGGGCGGGGCCATGCCTGGTGGTTTGGGAAGGCAGAGCCTTCCCCCACCTTACATACCTGACGCCAGTGGAGGTAAACCCAAACCCCAGGACTCTGGCCTAGTGCCACAGGCACTTCAGCATCCCACGTGCCTGCCCCTCCCATCCCCTTCAACTGAGCAAGAGGCCCTTTCACCTGGTTCAGAAGTGGGGTGATGGCATCATCGGACCGGTCCAGAATAAGCAGCAATGGAGGAACTTCAGTGCGCCGGAAATCAAACAGCTCGTATTCTTTAGTAATCACTTGCTGGAGGGGCAAAAAGCCAAAGTCAGTGAGTCCTGCCTGCAGCAGGGAAAAATTCCCTGCAGACTGGGGGCTAGGGAGTGAGAAGCAAGAGCAAGAGCGCTGTTATTTGTAAGCACAGCGCACGGAATGGCTTGCATTTTGCCAAGGCTGTCCAAAAGCGAAGCATGAATCTCCACAGCACCCCGAAGAGTTAGGGAATAAGCATTCTTCCAGCTACGCAGTTGGGGAAACTAAGGCACGGGAAAGGGAAGTAATTTGCCCAAGGTCATGCAGCGGATCAGTGGCCCAGCCAGGAATCCCAACACAGAACAGCTTCCAAAAGAAGAGTTTTCTCCTCTTGAATGCTGCAGGTTTGTGACAGAGGCACAAGCAGACAGCCAGGATCAGTGCAGCGCAATTCCATACCTTGACACATTCAGCGAGCCTCTTTGCAGGATCAGAAGAGAGCTGGTAGCGAATCATGGGACACTTCTTCAGAGACAGAAGCAAGGCGGTCAGCCCTTGGGCTGTTCTGGACAGCTGGGCCAGATCCCAGCTGCGACCCTGAAAATGAAGACGACACCCATCAGGAAACCCCAATACTGCACTGTACCTCATGTCACCAAAGTGGGCGGAGTCACCGGGCCCTGCATCCCCATCCACAGTCAAAGGACTCTGAGCCGGTGGGTAAAACAGAAGGTTTATTACTCAACAAGGACACAGCGTAGAACAGATTTGTCAGCATGGTATCCAGATGCAGTCGATACAATCAATCTTGGAAAGAGGGGGGCTCAGAGCCAAGAGCCCTGACCCATCTCCCTGCACCCCAAGCCAGCCAAGACTAACCCACAGGCCTAGCACCCTGGCCCAAGTCCCTCAACCAGCCCCTCTTCCAGCCTTGGTCCTGCTTCCAGGGAAGAAAGCGTCATCTGGACGCTCCCCTCCTGAGCTCAGGTACTGTAAAGCATCAGCCACTGTGTATGTGGGGGAGGCTATCCACACCAAAATTTCCATCCTCAACTAGGTACTGATGCAGAGCCCAGGGAAACTGAGGCACACACACGTCATTACTACAGAACAATAGAAATCACCTGCAGTAGAACGAGGGGAATAAAATCTCGATGACCCCCACTTTGCCACACCCCTCTTCTGGTGAGCCGAGAGAGAAATGCAGCTTTAGGTGAAGTAACTCACACAGGGAGCCTCCCCACGCCGAATACAGAAGGAAAAGGAACAGCAATAGGGGAGAATGGCCAAACAGAGGCCTCCACAATGCCAGTAAAGTTCCGGGCACAGTCAGAATAAAATAACCAGTTTAGTTACATTGATCCTGCCTCAGCTCTGGGCAGAACCAGGTGACCTGCAGGTCCCTTCCAGCCCTACACTTCTACGATTTGTCACCTGATTGCCTAAGGACAGCACAGACGATTACAACCCAGAGAATATTAATGATCTAGGCCATAATCCCACTGGACTCATGCACATGCCGAGTATGAGGTTCTGTTGACAGGACTCTTTGCGACAGTCAAGGTGAAGCACGTATAGTAAGTGTTTGCAGAATCAGAGCCCTAGTCTACTTGGTTCACCCCACGCAGCCCTGGAGAGAGAATCAGGCTTTGCAATTTCACTTTCCATCTCTAGACATTTTCCCTTTGGAGATCTTGAGCCCTAGCACAACTGGTGCATTTGGCTTCTTCACATCATGGGGATAGTTACTTTTTTTTTAAAACGGCTTCTCAAATTTAAAACAAAAAAAATATGTACAAGACATTCTGATTTGTATTTAGTTATGTAAAAATACGTATTTCCTAGAAAGTTCTAGTTTTGGCTCTGAACTACTTGCTAGGGTCCCTTGAAACAAACTCCTTCACTCTTGAAAGCACACCTGGGAGATTTTCCCATATGCTTTTCAAGTGACAAACAAACTTCAAGCTAGCAGGGTGCCGAGGAGGGAAGAGCAGGTTTTAATGCTATTGTAAAAGCAAAAGGGGCCTGTGACTGCTGTCGTTGAAGTCAGTGGGAGTTTTAACATCTGCAGTTGGAGAGGGATTATCCTTTTGAGGTGCACAGCTGCTAACAAAAAAACCAAGACCACTTGCTTTTGATTCCCAACAACTGCATTGGGAAAGCGGCAGCAGAGTCATCATTTGCCAAAGCAGCTGCTAATTTGGGGTGCTCAGCCTCAGGCCAGATTTTCAACAGTCTGAAGCAAAACAAACTGAAGTCAAAGGGAGCTGAAAAATCTGAGTTCAGGATGAAAGGGTCTCAGATCGAGTGTCCATAACATGATATACACCCACAAATTAGTGGGCACTTTTCAAAGCTACCTAGTGATATACATAATCCCCTTCAACTAGTGTTCAGAGCCTATGTTCAAAGGCACAGCTGTAGCAATCTTAGGCTATGTCTACACTGTGGTGCTATTTCAGGATACTGTTATTTCAAAATACGATGGGGTTGCTAGTCTGACGTCGCTGTAAACCTCATTCCACGAGGGATAAGGGATGTTTCGGAATAGCAATTTATTTCGAAATAAGTGCTGTGTAGACAGCGCCACATTTTGAAATAAGCTATTTTGAAGTTAACACGAAATAAGCTATGGAATTTGCGTAGCTCAAATTGCACGGCTTATTTCAAGCTACAGGGGCAGTGCAGATGCACCCTCGGGGATCGTCTACACTGTGGAGCTATTTCAGGTATCCCAAAATAGCTATTCCCTGTCTTTTGAGTACGCCCATTATTTCAAAATATAACGGGCTTGCTATTCCAATGTCCCTGCAAACCAGAGAGAGTGTTTTATTTCAAAATTTGGTGCTGTGTAGACAGAGCCAAATTACGAAATAAGCTATTTTGAAATTAACTTGAAATAAACTATGTAATTTGCATAGCTCAAATTGCGTACTTTATTTCGAGCTAAGGATGCAGTGTAGACTGGAGAAAGAAGGGAGGGGGGAAGGAAAAAAAAAGAGGTTTTTAGGCCTCAAAACTGCAGTCTTTACTCATATATTGCCTCTGATTTCAATAGCTCTTCAGTGTGTCTAGACTACACCTCTCCGTCGACAGAGAGATGTACATTAGGCACGTCGAAATTGCTAATGAAACCGGGATTTAAATATCCAGTGCCTCATTAGCATAAATATGGCTGCCGCTTTTTTTTCCGAAACGGAGTTTTTTCAAAAAAATGGTAGTCTAGACACTGCTCTGTCGAAAATAAAGCCTTTTTTGACAGATCCTGTAAACCTCATTTTTTGGGGAATACAGGATCTGTCGAAAAAGGCTTTATTTTCAACAGCTCCATGTCTAGACTGCCATTTTTTTTCGAAAAAATCTCTGTTTTGAAAAAAAAGCAGTGGCCATTTTTATGCTAATGAGACACGGGATATTTAAATCTCGGCTCCATTAGCAATTTCAACGTGCTTGATTTGCATCCCTCTGTCAACAGAGGGATACAGTCTAGACATAGCCTGAGTGAGGACTGCTGGAGGAACATGGGAACTGTCAGACTGCATCAGACTGAAGGGCCAGCTAGCCCAGCATCCTGTCTCTGACAGTGGTCTGCTCCAGCTGATTTAGCGGAAGACACAAGAAACTCACTTTAAGGATCTCTACTGGCTTAAAGACTGAAGCATGAGGTTTAATAAGCAGAAGGACCATAGTATTTTCTTAACTGACTCCGCTCTCTTTCCAGTTCCTTGCTGCCGCCGCCTCCTCCTCCTCCATGAATCTTTAGAGCCCTGCATGGCTAAAAAATTTGTATCCACAGAAACAAGCTGCGGATGCGGATACCTGTGGATATAGCGTAGACTCTGTGGATTTGCAGGGCTCTCTATGCATCTTCATTCACTCTTACTGCTTGGTCTTTGCCTTATGGAATAGCTTTCAACTGGTTTTTATTGACTCTGTCCAGGCTACTGCATGGAAGATAAACACCATGACACTTGAGAGATGAAGGGTTGGCCCAACATCTGTGGGGTTTGAAGACAACCAGCCAGGTGCAGCATGGGCAGCCATTCAGGCTCCCCCAAAATGTACCCCATCCCTGCCCCTAAGTCAATATAACGCTGTTTGCACAGCAGAACAGTCGATATAGCAACTCCAATCCCTGACCAGACATTTACTGAAAAAGTGATCAGCTCCACAGGGAGGTGGCAAACATCCTAGCTTCCCAGCTGGGCAACTGACCAGGATGCCCAGTTAGTTGTGACCATGTTCTGGGGTTCTTCAATCCCAGCTATTAGTCAAAATGAGACCCTGGAGAAGAAGCCAGAACCTTTTCCATACCTGGCAGCAGCCCAGGAGGTTGAGGGAAAACACGTGTGGATTCACAGCAATGTAATCTCCATAGAATTCCTGACAACACAAATAAATACAGTTAGCGTCACACCCACACTTACGCCTCCTGTGTGAGCAAAAGTTTTAACCCAGCTCTTCCATCCAAAGACATGAACATGTCCTTGAAGTCCTAAATGATTCACAGCCCCACTGACTCCCAGTAATCCCCCCTCCCCACAACTCTGAGTTCCCTCTCTCTGCTGGCATTTCCAGTCTGTTCCAGAGGCATGGCTTTCACACCACCATTTGCACGTATGCTGGTCAGCCACGGCTATAGACACATACCAACTCTGCTATGGCAGAGGAAGCAGACTCTCTGGCAGCCTGGGGAAAGGGCAGATTGTTTTTAGACAGTGCCTACATTCTTCTGAGCCTGACTTGTTGTCTAGTGTTTCTGAGCCTGTGCTGTTCACCAGGTCAGTCCCCACAGGGGGGTGATAAATATACGGAGCCCGGCAGTCAGTTTTGAAAGTACTTTCGAATGAAGAGAGCCATGTAAAATATTATCTGCGATTACACGTACTTGAACTTCAGCCACAACTTCCTGCTCGTCAGCCTCCGCCAGTGACTTCACATCGCTCTTACTGATCACGTTACTGAAGTCTGAAAGGAGACACCCAAGACACTGTAATCCACAAAGCAGCTGACGAATAAACAATAACCAAGTATCTTTCAGCTGGAAAGGGTAGGGGCCCAAATATAACAGGGATGGGTTTGACCCTAGGCCTGCTTTCATGATGATTACTAATGCCGTTTAGATCATTATTGTAACTCAAACTCCCCTCGGAAATATGTGATGAGGCACTAGTGAGGCCACATCTGGAGTATCGTGTCCAGTTCTGGGCTCCCCACTATAGAATTGATGTGGACGCATTGGAGAGGGCCCAGCAATGAAAATGATTCAGGGGCTGGAGCACATAATCTACTAGGAGAGGCTGAAGGATTTGGGCTTGTTTAGTCTGCAGAAGAGAAGAGTGAGGGGGCATTTGATAGCAGACTTCAACTTCCTGAAGGGGGGTTCCACAGAGGTTGAAGAGAGGCTGTTCTCAGTAGTGACAGATGGCAGAATAAGGAGCAATGGTCGCAAGTTGCAGTAGGGGAGGTCTAGGTTGGATATTAGGAAAAACTTTCCCTAGGAGGGTGGGGGAAGCACTGGATGGGTTCCTAGGGTGTGGGTGGAATCTCCATCCATAGAGTTTTTTAAGCCCCGGCTTGACCAAGCCCTGGCTGGGATGATTGAGTCGTGGTTGGTTCTGCTTTAGGCAGTGGGCTGGACTCGATGACTCTTGAGGTCTCTTCCAGCTCTGGGATTTTAGGATTCAGGGTGCTGGGTTGATGCCATGGAAGAGCGAAGCTTTTCTGTGTTTAGTCAGAGAGCGGGTACCACGGGCAGTAAGCATCCAGCATGCTTTCCCTTTATCCAGCCTAACTGGGGCACTATCAACGACAGCAGCCGCAGCAAGCCCTCTCTCTACTCAATCAATTAAGAACAGAATCTCTTGCTAAGTGTTTGTACAGCATCTAGCACGATGTGGCCTCGATCTCCACGGTGGCATCCAAGCCCCTTTGAGCTCATTTATTTCTAACTGGTATCAAGCCACCACACTTTTTATAAAGCGGTGTTTCTGTCAGCGAGACAAGCCTGTCTTCACCGGCTTCACTACATTCACGCAGTCCGACAGTGACATCTAGTGGTTGGTAACGTTCATTCCCATGCATCTTGCACGGCAGAAAGAGGGGCCTGTTTCTAGAGGGCTGAATTCAAACATAATAATACCGAGCGCGAATGGATCACTGAATTTCCAGAATTACACAATACTCCAGAAACACCAAGCTGAGGCTGTAATCAGTGAAAGGTGCAGTGTAGCAGATCTATGCATCCATGGACTGATACATTCCACTACATTCTGATCTTGGCTCTGGCTCAAATCCAAAATGAAATTGTGTCGATCTCTCAGCCTTCCTACCTCAGTTTCCCCCTGTGTTATATAGGGATGAGAACGGCCTACTTTAGCCGGCCCCCGCCCTATCGGAGGTTGAACTCGTGTCCGTAAAGGATTGTAAAGATGTAAAAACCCTAAAAGAATGAAGTGTTATTACTGATTGTGGAACACATTGCCAAGTAGGATCAGCATTCATGCTGTCAACTCACTCCATCCACCCTACCACAGTTGGGTTGGTGGGGTCAGAGAAGAGAAAATGCTGGGGGAGAAAGACAGGAACCTTATCATTTTTCTGCTCTGCCCAGCTTGTGAGCTTTGCTGACATGGAGACAGCGGCAGCTGAGAGTGAGATCTGGTTGTAAGACTGTGATGCCTGTGGATGCTGTTCCTAAAAATGACACTCACTTTTTGTGTGACCTTCCATAAGTTGATTTACCTTTTAGTGGCCTTAGTTCTCCCACTGGAGAATAAGGGGACACACTGCCCAACTGCTTTGAAATCCTTGGATGAAAGAAGTTTGAAGAACAATGCACTTTTAAATGCCTTTGATGGGTTGAAGTGCAACCTGGAAGGACTAGTAGCCCAGCATGAAGTTAGTTGGCAGGGAAAGGGAGAATACTGCAAAAATTCAAGGCTAGCGACATGTAGGAAGGTGAACAGCTCAGGACTTGTCTCTGTCTAATGCATTAACTCAATTGGTTTGAAACCACTATTCAAGTGTTACACACCCCTTGTGTGGACAGAATTATACCAGTATAAAGATGCTTATACTAGTAGGCTGCGTCTAGACTGGCAAGTTTTTCCGCAAAAGCAGCTGCTTTTGTGGAAAAACTTGCCAGCTGTCTACACTGGCCGCTTGAATTTCTGCAAGAACACTGACTTCCTACTGTCTGAAATCAGTGCTTCTTGCGGAAATGCTACATTGCTCCCATTCAGGCAAAAGCCCTCTGGTGCAAATGCTTTTGTGCAAGAGGGCCAGTGTAGACAACATGGTATTGTTTTGCGCAAAAAAGCCCCGATCGCCAAAATGGCGATCAGGACTTTCATGCACAAAACTGCATCTAGATTGGCACGGCCGCTTTTCCGCAAGAAGTGCTTTTGCGGAAAAGCGTCCGTGCCAATCTAGACACTCTTTTCCACAAATGCTTTTAATGGAAAACTTTTCCGTTAAAAGCATTTGCGAAAAATTATGTCAGTCTAGACGTAGCCATAGAGCTTATTCCTGTAAATTTTGGGGAAAATATGCCAACCCTGTATAAAGCCACTTTATGGTATAGCTATATCTACACCTACGTAGATCACGTCTTTCCCAAAGCGAGACTGAGAATCACAAGGCTACTAAACAGGTACAGAAATGAGGACGTTAAGAATGCTTCACATTTAGAGGAAAATGTTTGCATCATATCAGAGTATGTTTAGAACGTCTGAAATATTTGGTGAGCCAGGGCATACTTACAAATATAATAGATGTTATATTTCGGCCGCCGCAGCTCCTGAATGAGGTATTCCACATTCTCCTGGATGAAAGGAAACCCATATGGGGAACAATCAGAAAATGCCCCAATCTTTATGCAATAGGTGATTAAAATAATTAACGCTTTTAAGTGGGCAGCGCTCCGTGTTTAATTCTGCAAATCACTATGCTATTGTTAAAGTCACTGGAAACTGGAGTTTTGCAGCACTACTCTTCCAGGACCACTCAGCACTGGAACCAGGTGGAAGCCGGTTTGCCTGCCCTTTGAAGATTTTCAAGATATTTCAAATTTTTCCCCTCCTGACTCAGGACAAAAGTGAAAACGGCGAGAATTTTTCCAAACTGAAATTCCAAGGGAAAAAAATTTCAAGTTGAGGCAAATGAAATGGACTTTAACTTTAAAAAACCCACAAAGTGGCTTACACTTTTTAAATGAGGCATTTCAAACTGGAATTTCTCATTGAAAACAAGTAAAAAAAGTGTAAACCATTGTGAAACTTATTTTTATTTTATTTTTTATTGCAAGTAAGGGAATTCATCAAAACAGGCCTTTCACTGCTAAAGGTTTTGCTTTTGACAACTGGTGTTTTCAGACCAAGAACAGTTTGAAAGAACTCCCAACCAGTTCATCTCAGGGCTTGCCTACTGACCCAATTTTCAAAGGAATCCACAGCCAGATTTCACATGCTCAGCACCCACAATTGGATCGAAATTTTCAAGAGGGCTCAGCTCCTATTTAGGCATCTAAAGTGGGTCCAGATACTCCTGAATGTTCAGTACCTCCCAGGGACACAGTTAAGAGCAGATTTTCAAGAGTTCAGCCCACGATGAGAACCTGGCATGCTGAATTCTTCTGAAAAATCTGGACATTTATTTGGGGCCCTACTGGGAGCTACTGACTTTTCAATATTCCGGCCCACATTTGTATGAAGCAGTATTAATAAAAAAGAAATATTAAGCCATGAGGCAGAAGTCTATTTCCCTCTGAGAATCAGCCTACTTAACTCATCCTGCAAATTCAGTAGATAGAACTCCTAGCTACTACAGCATTAGACACATATTATAGCAAGTATCAAACTAAATAAATGTGCCTGTTTTAATGGTGGGTCAAGTCCCACAGAATTCTGTTTCACAGTATTACTGCTCCCACAATGCCGCCAGCTGTCTTGATCCTGTCCTGCATTCTTCATAAAGCCCCAGCTCCTGGAGTCATGCAACTACATGAAAATTCATTTGTCATAGGGGGGGAAGAGAAGAGAATTTCTGAAGTGGCCCTGGGGCTAGGCCGGAAGGGACAGGGCCTAATCTGGAAGGGGAGGGGCTAGAATGCTTCTGGGCTTCTCCAGCCCCTTTACCCCCCCTTCCCACTAGGCACCCATGCCCCTGGCAAGGTGGGAAAAGGCTTCACACGCTGTTCTAGCACCTTGGGGTTACAGAGAATAACTTGGAAACATGAATCTTAAAGGTTCTAAAACTAGATAGAAAATAACAGGCTTAAAATGTATTATTTTTTTAAATATCATGAGTTTTTGGAACCTGGCTCATGTTGTTTGTGGATTTGTAGTTAGCAATAGTACTCCAAAACCAACTGGCACTGTTTTTTCTTCTTTCAGCTTCGACAAAAGGCTGAGCATGTTCCCTAAAAAGTTACAGGGAATTGTTGATAGCTTTCAGTAACTAAATCATTTCATGGATGAAAACATTGTCACCTTTTGCAAAACTACCTGGAAATTTACCAGCCCAGCAATGTTCCCTATAATCTTTTTCATCCATGTGTGGATTTTTCCATCCACGTGAGGAATAAATTTTTTATGTTCACTAAAATATGTACAAATGTGCCCTGCTAGTAGAAACAAACAAAAAGCCTAGCTGTGGGGGCTCTACTAATCAGCTGAGCAACATTTGAATCTTTCCTGAGCGGCTGCACAAGCCCACTGCTTACAGGGAATACGACAGCCCAGGTACAAAATCCACTGGTCACACTTTATAATGGGGCCATGTCAGAAGGAGGAGAGTAGGGATGTAAAAAGTTAAATGTTAGGAAATGTTTAAGTGATTAACCAGTTAACTGACTAAGCAGGATCTGGGCTGGGGACAACTCCAGGCCAGCTGATGCAGCCCCCAGCTCACAGGGCTGCTGGGGCTGGCTGCCAGCTCTCAGACCCACACTGGGGCTGCTACAGGCTCTCAGCTCCCAACCCCACTGGAGCAGCCCCTATCTGCAGTGGACCTGGGCTCCCCACAGTCAGCGGCTGTTCCAACCCTGCAGGGTACCAAGGCTCCCCATGGACAGAGGCTGTTCCAACCCTGCAGGGTACCCAGGCTCCCCATGGACAGAGGCTGCTCTGGACAGCAGACTGGCATCTGCCTGTGGGGCACCCAGGCTCCAGCTGCCAGAACAGCCATATCCACAGCAGGCCCACTGCAGGGCTGAAGCAGCTCCCTGCCCATTGTAGGTGGGGAACTGTTCTAGCCCCCACCAATTATCAGTTAACCGAAACTAGTAAACCTTTCACATCCCTTGGGGAGACAAGGGAAGTGTTTGAGGGGTGTCTTTGTATGTGTTTGTTATTCACTCCAGGTGAGTGGATAAGGTAAAGTTTGTACAGCTATCAAACTAAGGCATTGATCCTGAAAAACATAAACTTGTGCTTAATTTTATACACATTAGTCGTCCCAGTGAATTCGTTAGGACTGCTCATCAGAAGCATAATGCCAAATGTGGGGAAAAGTATTTGCAGGATCATAGCCTGAGATATCAGCATTAGCTGCTCTGTTAGTACATAGGCTCAGGGCAGAGCAAATGCCAATGCTGACAGCAGCTGCCTTTAAGAAGTAGCTCACCTTTGTTGGTCGCAAAAAACAGATTGCTTTCAAGTGTTTCATGGTCTCTCTGTTCAAAGAATCAATCCGCTCAAAGAGGTAAACTTCCTTCTGAAGGATTTCCGACTGCGTATACACCATGCTCACAATGCTGGTCTGCAGGGAGAAAGAAAGAGAAGACAAGTTATCTCTACTTGCTGGGGCAGACTCGTGAGACAAGGGAGTGTTGACTAATGGTTAGTACACAGAACTGGGATTCATGATTCCTAGGTTCAGTTCCTCTTGGCTTTGCCACTGGGTTGCTGTGTGACCCCGGATAAATCATTTCACCTTTTGTGCCTCAATTCCCTAAACAGGTCATTGCAGTTTTATGCATTTAGGTAGATGGGCAGCAGCCCTCAGTGCAGTGGGCTAACACTTCAAAGCATGACTTCACCTGCATTCATGGAGTGGGTGTGGCAGATTGATTGGCATTTGAGAACAGCCATCACACACAATCCTCCTCACCACATTCTCCAACTGCTCCATGTCCCATTAAGGAGGCAACACAGAACTGCTTGCAGCCTGCTCTCTAGCCCAGCACTGGCAGGATACTTCCCCAAGAGCAAACTGCTTAGGAAGGGACACCAAGGTTGCAAATTATTAGAGCCAAGATGAGGAAAAGAGGGAGATCTAGGAAGCAGTGTTCCGTTTAAGCTGAGTGCTTGGACAGCCACCCAGGAGAGATTCAGTTGCCTCCCAGCTGATTAGCAGAGCACCCACAGCCAGCAGCACATGTTTCTATTAGTGGTGCACATCCACACATGCCTCAGTGCACATAAAATTTATTCCCCATACAGATGAAAAAAATTGGAACACTGTTAGGAAGCCATGATCATTTCTCTTGCTCCCTGGGCAGAGCGAGCACTAGGAATAGCACAGAAATATTAATCTTCCTAAAACAGCTACAACTCTATTACTTTTCTACCAGCACAAAAGAAAGACTGCAGCCTGTGGTCAGGGTGGAAGCCACTGTTACCCCAATAGCTCAGGAAAGACCAAAATACAGAGGCAGAGGCGATTCCATAGAATCTGGAAGGGGTCTTGAGAGGCAGGACCAAACACCATGGTAAATACAGAATCCTTAGGGGCCTAGCTCACCGTTTCTTTATCCATCAAGAGGACCTTCATCCCGGGCCCACTGTCTTCAATCATCTTGGACACATATTGCTTCACTGCAAAGACCACATTCATTGTGGCAAGAGATTGCGCTCCCCACCGACCCGTCTGCAAGGGGTAATATTATGCTAGGCTGCACTGAGCAACCCAGCCCTCCTTTCTCCTGGGCAGCTCGCGGCTTCCTGCCTCTCTGTTTCCTCCTGTTGCAGCCCTGGGAGTTGTAGTTCACAAGGAGGTGGACTGTCGCGCCAAGCAGCGCCCATCCCGTTTCGTGGGAAGGCGTTGCAACTACAAATCCCAGCATCCTCAGCATCAATGAGTTTTTTTCCCCCCTGCAGCTGGAGGGGGGCGTGTTTCAATGCACTTCAGTCCCAGCATCCACAGCATCAATGAGTTTTTTCCCCCTTGCAGCTGGAGGGGGGCGTGTTTCAATGCACTTCACGCTATGGAGCTGTCAAGTTTTCTCTTGTGGGAGGGGGGGGGCACCACATTGGCGGGGTAACTTTGGAGTAGCGTTTAAATGAGCACCTTTTGCAGTGAAGCATTTTGTTGCATGATTCCCTGGACTGCAGAAAATCTCTTTCAATGATCCTATCACCGCTTGACAGCTGGCTTCATTATGGTAGTTTTTGTCCCCTTTTGCCTTGAATCTTCAGAATCTAAACTTTATTTTTAGAAAATGTTCCTAGGTCTTTGGTTGCAAAGAAAACCTTCCAAACCGACACCGCAGAGGCTGTTCTAAACGTTGCAACAAGAAAAACAATTGCACCGAATCCCAATTGACAATTCTCCCACAAGCCTTAAGTTTGTTTAGTTTTGCCCTAAACTGCTCTAGTTTGAGACTTGAGATCCCGCACAGTTTTTGATGCTCGAGCTGCAAGAAAACAGCGTGGCATGCCTAATACCTTGAGGGGAGAAAGACACATGCTATGCTGGCTGTTGTGTGCTTTATGCACAGTTGCAGGCTTAAGTAAAGCTGATGGATTGGCTAGACACCCTTATTTCAGGTCAAATGGAAGAACAATGAAATGCCCTTTTGGGTAATGATTACTGGAAATGGTAGGAAGCCAGATCCCATTGATAATGGGCTGCATAGGAGGGAAGATCAGAAGCTACACTCTATGCATTTCCTTGGAAAAGATGCAAACACAGACTAGGGTTGCGGCTGTGTGCATGTGTGAAAGGCAAAAAGCAAGAGAGGCTGTGGTCAGCATGGCCCTGAGACAAAGCCAAGAGACAGAGGGTTCTTTTGGACACAGTACTTGAGGGAAAAGCAGACCAGCATTTCCGAGAAAGGAAACTGCCTGCTATTGTTTGTTTTTATTGTGTTTAGAGAAACAGGGTGTTGTGTCCGTTCTTTGTAAATAAACAGGATGACACCAAAGAAATATTTGACTCGTAGTTCTCTTCTTAACAGAAACAACCTGCCAAAGTCCTGAATATTGACGAGGTGTTTTTCGGGTCAAAACAGGTTAATTAAAGAGCTTTGACTGCTGTGGAGGAACAACCTTGAACTTCTAGTGACTCACACTGGAAAGAGAGAGTAAGGATTTGCAGGATCAAGTTCTATAAGCCAAATTTTGGCTGGAAAGCTCAAAACGGGCTCTTGGGAGAATAACTGAGGGTAGCAGTTGGCTGTATGGAATAGTGTTCCATCATCTCTCAGATGGAGGGCAGCAGTCAACTGCAACATGCTGACAATAACTGGGTGAATTTCTGCCAAGAATAAATGGGCAATTTCCTCTGCTAAAGAAACCACAAGATCTTAGAGACAAAAGACATCTCCTCCACCAGCCCCCCACACACACATGGGAAAGATGGAGGGGAGGGTGTCAATCAGTCATATTTTGCCACAGAAAAAATTCCCTGTGAAGTACTGGAATTAAAAGTGCAAATTTGCAATGGCTGTGTCAGTCTGAAGGTGACATGGCTGAGCTATTTGGTTTTCTTGATGGTGACTGCAGCATCTCCTGCCCAGCTTAGAACTTCAGCACAATTGTTCCTCTGCTGAATATTTTGTTTGGCTTTGTGTAGGAAACTCTGGTTATTGCCTTAAAGCAGCGGTGGGAAACCTCAAGCCCTGGGGCCAGATGCGGCCCCTGGCTTGCCCAGATCCGCCCTCCCCCCCCCCAGCATTGGGGAGCCTGCACTGGTGCTCCAGCCCCCCTGCTGCCCCACAGGGCTGGTGCACCCAGAATCTACTAGGCTGGGCCCCCCTCAGCTCTGGTGGGCAAGGGGAATGTGGGGAGGGTCTTTCTCCTCAGCTGGGCGCCATGTCAGTAAGGTGGATTTTTGTTTGTCTGTTTTTGTTTTTTGCCCTGCCCTATTCAGCAACCCAATTGAGCCACCTCTCAGTAAGGGTGCTGCCTTCCCTGCTCCTGCCCTCGGTGTATTTTCTCCCATAGCTCTTTCCAGGCCACCAGTTGCTCATGTGACCCCCCAGTATCCTCATGCTTGCTCCTGTGTTCCCAGTGTCACGCCCTCTCCAAGCTGCGCCTGTGCCCCCAGTGCCAATCTTGCCATGTGTTCTTATCCTCCCCTTAGTACCTAATCCTGCCACCCATTGCTGTCCCTGCCAGCTGTTCCTATCCTCCCCTCCAGTGCCAATCCCTCCACCAAATGTTGCTTCTGCCCCACAGGCCACACCTGCCTTGCCCCATCCCTAGGGTGCGTGTGGGGAGCCCCCAAGTCTCTGGGGTACATGGGAAGCCCCCAAATCCCTAGGGTGCGTGTGGGGAGCCCCCAAGTCTCTGGGGTACATGGGAAGCCCCCAAATCCCTAGGGTGCGTGTGGGGAGCCCCCAAGTCTCTGGGGTACATGGGAAGCCCCCAAATCCCTAGGGTGCGTGTGGGGAGCCCCCAAGTCTCTGGGGTACATGGGAAGCCCCCAAATCCCTAGGGTGCGTGTGGGGAGCCCCCAAGTCTCTGGGGTACATGGGAAGCCCCCAAATCCCTAGGGTGCGTGTGGGGAGCCCCCAAGTCTCTGGGGTACATGGGAAGCCCCCAAATCCCTAGGGTGCGTGTGGGGAGCCCCCAAGTCTCTGGGGTACATGGGAAGCCCCCAAATCCCTAGGGTGCGTGTGGGGAGCCCCCAAGTCTCTGGGGTACATGGGAAGCCCCCAAATCCCTAGGGTGCGTGTGGGGAGCCCCCAAGTCTCTGGGGTACATGGGAAGCCCCCAAATCCCTAGGGTGCGTGTGGGGAGCCCCCAAGTCTCTGGGGTACATGGGAAGCCCCCAAATCCCTAGGGTGCGTGTGGGGAGCCCCCAAGTCTCTGGGGTACATGGGAAGCCCCCAAATCCCTAGGGTGCGTGTGGGGAGCCCCCAAGTCTCTGGGGTACATGGGAAGCCCCCAAATCCCTAGGGTGCGTGTGGGGAGCCCCCAAGTCTCTGGGGTACATGGGAAGCCCCCAAATCCCTAGGGTGCGTGTGGGGAGCCCCCAAGTCTCTGGGGTACATGGGAAGCCCCCAAATCCCTAGGGTGCGTGTGGGGAGCCCCCAAGTCTCTGGGGTACATGGGAAGCCCCCAAATCCCTAGGGTGCGTGTGGGGAGCCCCCAAGTCTCTGGGGTACATGGGAAGCCCCCAAATCCCTAGGGTGCGTGTGGGGAGCCCCCAAGTCTCTGGGGTACATGGGAAGCCCCCAAATCCCTAGGGTGCGTGTGGGGAGCCCCCAAGTCTCTGGGGTACATGGGAAGCCCCCAAATCCCTAGGGTGCGTGTGGGGAGCCCCCAAGTCTCTGGGGTACATGGGAAGCCCCCAAATCCCTAGGGTGCGTGTGGGGAGCCCCCAAGTCTCTGGGGTACATGGGAAGCCCCCAAATCCCTAGGGTGCGTGTGGGGAGCCCCCAAGTCTCTGGGGTACATGGGAAGCCCCCAAATCCCTAGGGTGCGTGTGGGGAGCCCCCAAGTCTCTGGGGTACATGGGAAGCCCCCAAATCCCTAGGGTGCGTGTGGGGAGCCCCCAAGTCTCTGGGGTACATGGGAAGCCCCCAAATCCCTAGGGTGCGTGTGGGGAGCCCCCAAGTCTCTGGGGTACATGGGAAGCCCCCAAATCCCTAGGGTGCGTGTGGGGAGCCCCCAAGTCTCTGGGGTACATGGGAAGCCCCCAAATCCCTAGGGTGCGTGTGGGGAGCCCCCAAGTCTCTGGGGTACATGGGAAGCCCCCAAATCCCTAGGGTGCGTGTGGGGAGCCCCCAAGTCTCTGGGGTACATGGGAAGCCCCCAAATCCCTAGGGTGCGTGTGGGGAGCCCCCAAGTCTCTGGGGTACATGGGAAGCCCCCAAATCCCTAGGGTGCGTGTGGGGAGCCCCCAAGTCTCTGGGGTACATGGGAAGCCCCCAAATCCCTAGGGTGCGTGTGGGGAGCCCCCAAGTCTCTGGGGTACATGGGAAGCCCCCAAGTCTCTGTGGTGCGTGTGGGGAGCCCCCAAGTCTCTGGGGTACATGGGGAGCTGTGAGGAATCCCCAAAATCTCGGAGGTGGGTGTATGGGGAGCCCCCAAATTCCAGGAGGATTGGGGGAAGCTGTGGGAAGCCCCCAGTTTTGTGGGGTGCATGGTGACTGGGGATTTCACTCTGGCCCCCCAAATTCCTGGTGAATGGGAGAGCTGTCAGGGCCTCCCAAATTCAGGGAGTAAATGGAGGGATGTGAGGCCCTCCTCAAATTCCTGGGGTAAGTGGGGCAGTTGTGGGGGGTGGGGTGGTTGCCATCGCTCCCTAGGAGATAAGTAGAGTGTGGGTTGTAAGGAAGTCTCACTCTAGCCCCTCACATTCTTGGGCTGCTGTGGGATTTTGCTACAGCAGCTCCCCAGATTCCTGGTTGTGAATAAAGGGAGCGCCGTGAAGCTTCTGCTATGCCTATGTGATTGTGGAGGAGATTGGGGATGTTTCATTACATGGGAGGAATCGGTGTGAGGTCCTCCTGTGGTTACCCCACAAGTTACAGGGAGGTAAAAAAGGATGGAGTGGGCTTGTCTTACAGCTTTGACCACTGCAGAATTCCAGTTGGTAGGCCAATGAGAAATTGAGGTTCTCCTTTTAGCCCCTGCCCGCCATGCTTATGGGGAGCTCTAGTCATTTACCTATTTTATCCAAGGTTCCAGGCAAGTTTGCACATCCCTCACCTATCTAACCTGTGGCTTTTGCTTTAATTAGCTCTTAGAAACAAATCTGACAGGGGTATTAAAGTTAAAAATTGTAGTAAGGAAAGGATAACTAGATTGTAGCTTAAACTCATCTCTGTTTCTGATTTCAGGTTCCACTTTCAAAATGCCATTACTTGAAAAACAGGGTAAGTTTTAATCCTTGGCAAAGGGCAAGACCAAAATGATAATTGTTAAAATAACTGCACAGGAATGACAAAATAGTCAAGTCCAACCTTTCCAGTCAGTAATTTATTTCCACCATAATATTTGCCAACAAGCACCTACCAATGAGAATTTAGGGACCAATCCTGGAAGGTGCTGTTGAGCATCCTCAACGCCCACTGAAAGCAGTCTCAGAAGAGGTATTCAGCATCTAAAAGGATCAGGTCCTTCAGAAGCTTTAGACCTGATTCTCCATTCATGCACATTGTTGTAAGTAACGGCTGATTGCATATAAGTAACTGGGGCTACAACAGTGTCAGTGAAATCAGAACTCAGGCCTTTGGCTAACTAAATTGCCAGGTCAATTCAACTCCAGAGACAAGTTTAAAACAAGCAGTTCTGTGTACTGCTGCTTCCTGCAAACTGTGGCACTGCTCCTGAGACTGAGCCACATGTGCAGATCTCTGTTCCCACACAGCACTCTGCAGAACTGAATATGAGGTGCAGAGGTGCTGCATGGAATAACTTGCATGACTGAGGCCTATAGTGTTTTTGCTTTAAAGTGCTGGGTCTGGGTGATATTTCTTCTACTGTTATTTCTGATTATGGCATTTTGGGGAAAGGGCTATTATGTTTGTTAAAATGTGATCATACCATATGTGCATGTTTCATACAGAAAATGGTGAGCAGGTGCTGATGAAAAATGAAACCTATTTGCAAATCTTGTAAGTACCTTTTCTGAGACTCTGAGCTTTCATATGCTGTTCCTTTGTAGTTCAAGTTCACTTTTTATTCTGTTTGATTTGAACTTAGTGTACATTAAAATACATTTAAAAGTGCAAATATATTTTAGAAATGTGCATCTGTCTATCCGTCTGTCTGGTTGTTCAAGCTCCCCACCTCAGGGACAAGCAGGCAGGTGGGGTAGGCAGTCCATGCCGTTCCGGACTGCCCCTGGGGAGAAGATGGTGGCCATCACCACCCATTGCTCTGAGCCCCCCTCCCTCTCTCCTGAGCTCCCCTTCCTCCTAATGCCCATCCTGTTTATGAACCCCACCCTCTATCCTGAGCCCCTCCTCACCCCCATTCCTGACTCTTGCACTCTTCACACCCCCAGTCTCCTGCCCTAAGCCCTCCCACATCCCCAAGGCCTTGCCCTGACTCCTGCACACACACCCCATACACCTCTAGCCTTCTGCCCTGAAGGACCTGGGCAATGCTGGGTAAGTCTTCTAGTAGTCTAAAATTTTTATATTTTGTAGGAAAAATAAGGATCAGAGAAAGAGACTTGTCCATGAAATCTGTTCCTTTTTAGACAGCAGTCAGTCTGTAAGTAATACATTAAAAAAGATTCCTGAAGACATTTACATATACATTATTGATATTCAGCTTGTGAAACTGGGTCTTATATGGAGCTGAGACTCTGTGAGATCTGGTACATACGCTGTTTTCAGTTTGGTATAATTATGTCTATTTATTATGTTTACTTTGTTGTATCTTTGCTAATATAGTTATGTCACACAATCACTAGTATGAATGCACCTACATTGTTATAAAGGTGCTTTATACTGCTGTAGCTTATTCCCCTTCCCATATGGAAGGGAATTAAGCTATACAGGCAGTCCCCGGGTTACATACAAGATAGGGACTGTAGGTTTGTTCTTAGGTTGAATTTGTATGTAAGTCGGAACTGGTACATATTGTAGGGGAAACTCTAGCCAAACATTTCTCCAGAGCTCAGTTTTATTCTCCCACACCTCACTTCCCTCAGTCCTTTATTCTCAAGCTGAGGTGTCTGCTGAGAAAAGCCGTCTGCTGGGGGGGTGCTAGCTTCGCGTCTCCCTGGTCTGCTCGGAGGAAGCAACTAGTGCGGGGTTGCCTCACCCCGTTTGTAAGTAGGGATCCGATGTAAGTCGGATCCATGTAACCCGGGGACTGCCTGTACTGGTATAACTGCTTTAACTATACCAATGTCGCTAAAGTGGTAAAATTTTTATGTGTAGACAAGGCCTTGTTTTGCTAAAAATACCTTCTCTGTTCAACAGATAATCAGAACCAGCAGGAAAGTAATTTTCCTACATGTGAAGGGACATAGTGAAAGTGCTGAAGCCAAAAATGTTTCCTCCTGCACACTCCCTCTTTGAACAAGGCATATTTCCCCTAGATGTGCTGGGAGCAGACAGGAGAGGGGAATTCAGTGGGATCTCTAGAGTGAAACGGACTTTAACAGGATTAAAATCCTAGTTTATAGTTTGAACAACCAAGTAAATCAGACTCAGGCACCTCATTTTAGAGATTGAGGTGGGGAGAGAAGTTCTCTGTGAATGAAGTCAAGCGATAGGAGAGGGGGAGGTACTGAGACTTGGGCAGCCAGCTCTTGGCTGGGAAGGTGAGTTCCAGTGGTTGCAACCTGCTGCCAAGTCTCTTCCAGTGCCTCTGGGTCTTATTCCCTGCTCCCTAGTCAGATCCTGGGTCCTGTGGCAGTATCTCCAGCTTCTCTGGATCCAGCCATCCACCTCTGTCCTAGATGCATGCAAATTTACACAGAGGTGGAGATCCCACAATATTTCCATTGAAGGGAAGCTAGTCCCCCCAACCTTGCTCAGTTCCGACCGCCACCCTGATCTCTCTCTCTCCTGTTCTCTGCCTGAGGCACACAACTGTTTATTGGGCTCAATATAGGGTTAGCTGGATGAAATGGAATGGCCTGTGATACACACAGGAGATCAGACCAAATGATTCAATGGTCCCTTCTGGTCATAAACTGTATGAAATCTGGATTTGTCAGTGACACAGCATGAATATGTGTGTGTGTAACATTGAGGAAGGAGTAAACCTTACAACAGCTATTATGTCTCTTCTCTAACATCATTGTTGTGATCCATCTGGGTAGTAACATTCTTCTAATTACATTCTACTTTTAAAACAATGGCCCTATTCCTGGAATAAACTCTGTGTAGAATCCTGCTCTTGCATAGAGGCCTATGAAGTCACAATGCAGGATCAGAGTCTGTGTGATTGAAGTATTTATTAACCCGACGTGAATATAATATTTATTCAGCATCAGTAAAAGTTAACTTTCTTAAAGTTGTTTACAGCATATATCTAACCTATAGAATTAAAGACAATATTGAAGGTGTTTTAAAATTTGATGAGTATACTATAATAAGCATTGAAAAAAGCCAACATTAATTACAAGATCTACAAAGATGACATAGATGTTAACATTTTCCCAACACAATTATTGATATATTTACTTTTGTTTCTTAGATCCAAGAAATTGATGCTTTAAGGACAGAAAATAGAAAGCTAAAAAATGCAGTATGTGGTTTACATAGTGTATTTCAATTTTTAGTTGGTTAAATGCATGATATTCCTCTGCATTTGCTCGGGCAATAATTACAGAAATGATTTTAACTAATTCTGGATTTTCAGTATAAAGAGATTTAAGTGTTAATCTATTTATTATATATTTTGAAGAGTTTGTTTGTGGATTTGTTTGTGTAAATTTACGATTTATGAATGGAGATGCCTATCTTCTAGAACTGGAAGGGACCTTGAAAGGTCATCAAGTCCAGTCCCCTGCCTTCACAGCAGGACCAAGTACCATCCCTTATGTCATACTTAGTGATTACCCACAGATACCAAATTTTGCATAAACAATCCTGCCACTTAAATTAGCTGAATGCACTACATTTTACACCGGAATATGCTGGGTAAAAGGTTTAAATAATTATTTTAGTTTTTCGTTGGAAAAAAATCATTACTATTTTGATTAGCAGTTATAAAAATTTTTGCTAACAAAATTAAAATAGAATCACTTATTCAATTGTCACTTTAATGCAAAGAAAATTTTTACTGTTGCAAATCACAAAATAATTCAAATTAGTTACAGAAAGAGTAATGGAAGCTTTATGAGTTAATTCAAATTTACTATGTATGGTAATTATTCAATAAAATGGATCATGTTTTAAATCCTACAAATTTAAAACTGTTATTTTACTTCCCTTTTGCAAGCACATTAATTACAAAGTCTATTACATATATTTAATTTCTTGAACTTTCCTAGAAGAGTAATCTATGAAAAATGGCTTTGCCTGGTCAACGATGAGCCTCACCTGCTAGTATATATAAATTTTTAGAGTGCGTCTGTGGGTCTGTCTGTGGGTCTGCAAGTCCGTTTGTTCAAAAACCTAAATGGTAAGAGCTAGGACCACCAAATTTGGTATACAGCTTCCTCTTAAAGCAAGATCAGGATTTGTTATGTCAGGAAAACAGGAAGTGCCAAGAATGGGACTGTTGTCCAGAACATGGAAAGGGTAGGGGCAGAGAGGAGGGACATGATATTCACAGTGATCACTGGCGGGCAGCGACTGCAGGGAACAGCTGTACTACAGAATGATCAGGATTTGTTATGTCAGGAAAACAGGAAGTGCCAAGAATGGGACTGTTGTCCAGAACATGGAAAGGGTAGGGGCAGAGAGGAGGGACATGATATTCACAGTGATCACTGGCGGGCAGCGACTGCAGGGAACAGCTGTACTACAGAATGACCATTGGGGGCAGCCGCACCAGTAAGACAGTGGTTCCTAGATCTGGACAAGCAGGCCATAGAGGTGGGTCGCACTGGAAGCTGGGGGTAGCCTGTGAAGCCTTGCCTCCTGACAGCCTGCAGGCAGCTGGGAGGCTGCTAAAGGCCGGGGACAGCCCACAGAGACTTTCCCTTCCCCCAGCAAAGAGCCTGGGGGCCCATTAGAGGCTGGGGGCAGCTCTGCAGCCTGCTTCCCTCTGGCTGCCTGTAGGCTGGGGGTGAACAGCCTGGGGCCAGGGGAAGGCCCC